CTCCAGCGGTGCACCATTATCCCACCTGGGACCTTAACAAGGTCCTTGTCGCACTCACTAAGGGCCCCTTCGAACATTTGAAAATGTCAAGCCTCCAATTTCTGACGTACAAAGTAGTTTTCCTTGTAGCGATCACCTCTGCTCATCGTATCTCGGAGATCGCAGCCTGGTCTATCAGACAAGATCTCTGTGTGTTCCATGCTGATCGGGTGGTCCTTCGTCCTGATCCCACATTTATACCCAAAATCAATTCGGCTTTTCATAGGGCGCAAGAACTTATACTTCCAAATTTTTGCCCCAGACCATCACAAGGGATGGAAAGACAATGGCATAGGCTTGATGTGAGGCGTGCACTGCAAATTTATATCAATTGTACAGCGGCTTTCAGAAAATGGGAGGCTTTATTTGTGTCTTTTCAGCCCAACACTCAGGGTTACAAGGTCTCACCGTCTACGATAGGCCGTTGGTTACGGGCTGCAATAGCAAAAACGTATCAGGCTCAATCCCTGCAGGTGCCTAGGGGCATAACAGCTCATTCAACAAGGAGCACCGCAACATCGGCAGCATGGGCCACACAGGCACCGATAACTGAAATTTGTCGAGCAGCGACTTGGGCTTCCCCATCGCCATTCATTAGACATTATAAAATTGATGTGTTTGCCTCCGCTGAGGCTTTCTTTGGCAGAAGAGTTCTGCAATGGGTACACAGGGACCAGGAGGAGATTCCAGACCAGACGGGGTCCCTCCTGTAGGACAGGCCAAGCTTTGGTATGTCCCACTACTGGATGCTCTTCACAGCTCATAGGAGAAAGGGCGTTGGTACTTACCTGACACGCCCGTTCTCTTTGAACTGTGAAGAGCATCCAGCCTCACCCTTTTCCGTCTGGTGGGGTCCTGTTTCGGCCAATGAATTCTTAGGGCATGAGGATGAGGGCGTTTATTTCTCTCATCTTCGCCAAAACTGGGGAACGCTAAGGAGGAGTCACGTGGAGGAGGAGAAGCGTTCCACAAATCAAGCTCAGCCTATGAATGCGGAGACTGAAGCACCTCCCCACTACTGGATGCTCTTCACAGCTCAAAGAGAATGGCCGTGTCAGGTAAGTACCAATGCTCTTTCTCCCCTAATGAGTAGATAGACCAATTGACCTAAAAGTGGTTCCTGCCTGAACCAAGAGGCCATGCAAGTCAAAGCACCCAATAAATAGACATCACAAACATGCCTCTGCAGTACTGTGAAATAAGTGGTCCAAGAGTCTTCCTCTGTGCATAGAGAGTTGACCCAGGGCCTTGCTCTGTATTCACAAGTACTCTACATACAAGGAAGATTGGGACTCCCACAGCTATTTTATTTACTATATTTTGATGTATCTCAATAAGCATACACAACAACAGAGTGGCTACAACTGTACAGGCACTACCCCGATACTCATTTTGTATGACAATTATTGCCAATATTTGCTAAAGAGACTTTTGAATTTCACCCAATTAAAATCCCCTATCATAGCCCTTACAGCAATGCATGGTATAGTCTTACAAACAAAAGCACAGCATATGTTTTCTGGAATTACAATTAGGCATGCTGTTGGAACAGTAAGATTTAAAATAATGGGAGTCGTTCCCAGCTCCAGGATGGGAGAAGAATATGGACAAGTGAGCTCAGAAACTTGCTTCTGGTATCTAATAACTGTTGAGTAAATGCATTGTAGACACAGTTGATATATAGCTCATTTAGAATTGTTCTCCTTTCTTGATTGGCAGAAATTTTAATTTAATTTTTTTAGACAAATGTTCCATAATGACTAAAAAAGGGATGCTGCAATACATAGAACATTTCAATGGCAAGACCTTGTGGTGATGAAGATGGATATTGGAATGTCCTGACATTGTGTCTGAAGAATGAATGAAGTTACATGGCGCTTAGATGTTCCCCTCCCTCAATACTGTGGTGTGAAGCATTTCTTCTTTGCCATGGTGATTCAGAATTGAGTCAAGAGGTGGAGAATGTTTGCTTTAATTCATCAATAAATATCAGCTCTGCCTCTTTCACTGTCTTAGACTAATGCGTATAGATTTTGCCACACCCTCATTGCTTTCATTTGAGTCTGCTTCCTTCATTCACAGTCATTGTTGAACACTGTGACTGTTTTTGAAACACACGGAAGTATTTTTTTTTTAAAGATTTTGTTCATCCCATCATAATAATAGCTCAAGGCAGTGAACATTTTTAATACTCTCTCCTCCTCCTATTTTCACCACAACAACAACCCTGCGAGGTGAGTTGGGCTAAGAAAGAGAGTAATTGTCCCACCAAGCCAGCTTTTATGCCTAAGGTGGGACTAGAACTCACAGCCTCCTGGTTTCTAGACTGGTGCCTTAATCATATACCAAACTGGCTATATAGAGAGATGTCTAATAGAATGCCAATGGTAGTAAGAAACCCAGAGATTTTCAGCTTCCTTCTCAGCAAAAATATTTATTAAATCCAAGTGTAGACAGATAACAATTAAAGGAAAATTGTAGCGATCTGCTCAATACTAGCTTGAGAAGAACTGTGACATAAGAGAATGAACGTAATCTCATTTTTTAAATATTTATTTTTGTGGAAAAAGTAGCACCTAAAGCTTAATTAGTTGCTGAGGCATGCATGTGTAAGAAATTCCCCCCTCCTGCTGCATAATGTGAACATGGGCCTGTGCCACTGGGTCAGGCAGGGATGGCAGGTTGCGGACCCTGACAGTTAAAGAAATCTGACTGGTGGTGTCTAGGAAGACAGCCTTCTCTGCTATTGCAATAATCTGTCCCTGGAGGTGAGGTAAGCCACTAATCTTCTGGCTTTCTGAAAAAGAGTTGAAACATAGTTTAGGGGTCTTGAATGGGGAGCCCAAAGGAGCATGGAGTTGTGGGACTGGTTGGTGCCGGAAAAATCTTCCCTTCAGATTTTTAAATAACTTTTCACTAATTTTTCACAGTTTTACTATTTGTAAGGGCCTGCCTCAGTTAATCACCTCAGGAAAGCATGACTCTTGAAGCAGGTAGTTATCAAAATTTACTGAGAGATAGTGATTGTAGAGAAGTCAGGCAGAATCTAAAATTCCATGCAAAGTGTTAATTCTTCCCATTGCAAAACCTCACCCCCTGTACCAGTCAACTGTTATGCTTCTATATTATTTTGAAAACTCCGAGTAGTTAGCTTGATAGCAGGTCATACCCAGGAAGCAATGACCTTGGTGTCAGGCTGGAACCGGGTGGGAGGACCCCAATAGTCTTCTCCCCCTTCCTCCATCGGAATGGCAATGCCCTACAGGGTACTTGACACTATTCTTGATTCCTTTTAAATTTTTAATTCCAACATTTTCATTTTATATATTTTGATTTTTTTATTGTACACTGCCCAATCCCACTTTGAAGAAGATGAGTGGTTCAGAAATGCAAAAATAAATAAATAATAAGGCTTAATAAAAAATGACTTAAAATCATAGTGTTTCCATTGTAACTCAGTTCAAAAGATGGTATCAATAGGCCTTTATCAGTCAGTATCACCTACTTGTTCCAACATCTAACGACATGTCTCTTAATTCCAGTTGATAGAGAACATGGATTGGAAAAAGTGTTTGTTGTAATGTCTTGCCTCCGTTACTTCTTACTTTGTCCATCACTAAAATAGCTATGATGTCTCATTTCTGGAATTCACTCATCAAACGAACTCATGTAGCATATTTTATGTTACCCATTAGGAATCAGCAAAAACATTTTTTTAAATTTCTCTAGGCTTTTTATTAACTATTTGGATATCTTAATTACTATAAATGCCAAGTGGTTCTTGTACTAGTCATCTGGCTGATCAGTTTTATTATTTCGTTACTTTTAATGATATTAATGGAAACCATCTTGGAATAATTTTGTTGAAAACATCTATAAAAATATAATTATTCCTTCTGCAGCAAAGACATTTTTCTAATGGGGCAGCTGCAGCAATAGGAAGCAAAAGAAATAGGCAAAAATTACCTGGAAGAGTGCAATTATCTCCCTCACGGTAGATTATTTCTCTCTTGCACTTTTTGGGGTGGGTTGTATATCTCTACTATGTTGAGTCCTCTGGTGTCCCATTTTTTGTGCCTGGCATTTGCATGGTGGTGACGTTTCTTTAATAAATTAAGAAATAATAAGCACTTTCAAACAGAAAATAAGATTGGTTAGAAATAAGAGTCCTCTAAATGGAGCAAGTTCTGCTTTTTTGAGTCGTTAGGAATTATAAAAAAGAAATAGATAAGACAATTGCAGTAGACAGGGAATAGGGAATACAGATAGTAATTGAACTTGGCTTTAGCTTTCTTCTCACTTAGGAATCATGTTTTCTGTTTTATTTCAACCTTTACATTATACAGGGTAGGCAGAAGGAAAAATGGAATATCTCTTGCTTCATATTAAGAACATCCAGGATGAAGAAAGATGTAAATAAGAACATCTTAACATTTCTTAGTGCTGATTTCATGGATTAAGCATCTGACTTTTATTATCCTGATGACCATCCATTTTCAACCTGTTTATATAACATACTATTTTAAACCAATGTTTATAGTACAATGTTCAAAAAGGGGCTTTTTATTCATTTTTCTTTGGGTGCCAGAATGTAGTTCTAAATTACCTGAGAGTGTGTTTTTTATGCAGCCAACTTAAGACCCCTGATACATTGCTTTTAATACTTAACTATATTGGAAGGAAGAGGTTTCTGTCAGCCTTTGGGACTCTCTAGGAAGCGGGAAATAACTTTTATATTTATATACATTGGAGTTTTGGGAAACATTTCCACACGGCAAAGCAATATTTAAATCCAGAAGGCAAATTGGGATCTAGGTTAGAAGAATCAGGATATATTTGTAAGGAAAGTCAAGCAACTGAGTGGTAATATTGCCATTATGGAATCAAGCTGGTTGGAGGTGGATTTTCAGATTTTTGAGGGAGGAATGAATTTAATTTGTATTTACCCATTTCTTTTCCAGTCTCTGTTTGCTGCTGTTTCTTCATATTGTTTCTATTCCTGTCTGAGCTTACTGGATTCATAGCCACTGAAATGTAAGTACAAACCGTTTTTCTTGTCACTTTTCATTTTCAAAATGTATATTAACTTTTCTTATCTGATGGTAAGGTTTTGTGTGGAAAGACGCTGCCTACACATAATACAGGTAGTCGTCAACTTCCAACAGTTTGTTTAGTGACCATTCAGAATTACAACGGCACTGAAAAAAGTGACATGACCATTTTTCACACTTATGACCGTTGCAGCATCCCCATGGTCACATGATTTACATTCGGATGCTTGACAATTGGTTCATATTTACGACGGGTCGCAGTGTCCCTGGATCATGTGATCTTCTTTAGTGACCTTCTGGCAAGCAAAGTCAATGGGAAAGTCAAATTCACTGAAAAACGGTGTTACTAATTTACTAATTTAACAACTGGTGGGATTCACTTAACAAATGTGGCGAGAAAGATTGTAAACCTCACTTAACAAATTTCTCATTTAGCAACATAAATTTTGGGCTTTATTGTGGTCGTAAGTTGAGGACTACCTGTATATGTGTGTTTCTGAAAGCCTGCATCTAAATACTGAGTCTTATCTGCCTTTATCCTGATACCAAAACATTTCCCCCTCTCCACTTACTCCCTTTCCAGCCTCCTGATCAGCTTTCCTGACTACCTTCTTTCAATCAACAAACAGATAATTCCCATTTTAGCCTTGCGGTTTTGGATTAACCCAATTAACTATAAGGGCAAACCAGAATTCCTCCGAAAGGCACTCTCACCACAGTGAAGAAAGCTTGATGCACTGGAGCTTCTCTTGCTGTTCTTGAGTTACAGCAGAGGAAGATAACAGCTGCTTTGCAGACATTGGCCTGAACAAGCTAAACAACATCCCAGAGTTTAATCAGTTTCGTAGGGAGTGGAAGAACTTAGAATGACAAAGTGGGAATCAAAGAGTCTCAAAGTGGACAAGTTCATATACTTGACATAGTGCAGCTGTTCCCCAGATTCCTGTTTGGGGAAAAATCAGAGAAAAAAATATTATTGTGACTGGCCAGATAAAGCCCACCTTGAGAGGGTGGCTAATGCTTTGATTCAGTCGTGCCCATGTTACTTTTCCTCTCATGATTATATAAGTTTGATAAATATATTTTAAATCCTGGAGGCATGGTTCGTATTCTCTTTTACATATGCACATTTGCATGTGTGTGTGCATATACACACGCACACAGATTCCCATATTCTATAGTAATTGATCTTTACAATATTTACAAATACAGCTTTGATGTAACTATGTTCAGGACTTGAGGATTCTGTTGTTAGCTAATTTCTAGAGATAGTAGTTAAATTGTGCTGGTGGAGTCTGGCAGAATCTGGGAACAAGCAGAACTACACTGTACTTTTTATAGTGACATATTGCAAATCCACAAGTATTTTTCCTGTGTCTGGTTGGTGTCAAAGGTGGTATTCAGCAGGTTCTGACCAGTTCTGGACAACCGGTAGCGGAAATTTTGAGTAGTTTGGAGAACCGGCAGATACCACCTCTGACTGGAGATTTTACAGTATCCTTCCCCTGCCACATCCACCAAGCCACGCCCATAGAACCGGTAGTAAAAAAAATTGAATCCCACCACTGGCTAACTTGTGTTGCACTTGAATTAAGATCACCAAGAAACATTTAGGCTATAGACTTGAATAGAAAGTTAAAAAATATTTCAGAAGAAGGCAATGGGAAATCACTTCCGTATTGTTGCCATAAAGCAATGTGGATATGTTGACATAAAACTTGAGGTTTACTTTACATGAAATGTAATGATAGGGTTTTATTCCAAATGCTTCAATAACCCAGTGACAGCCTTTTTCTTTCTGCATTGATGATCAGTGGGTAGTAAATTTGGGTGTATGTTGGAGTTTGAAAATGAGGAGTCAAATCAGCCTCTTTGGAGGTTCCACAAAGCAAAATGAGATCTCTACTAAATGATTCAAACCACCTATAAAGAGTTAAAGCTACAAGGTAATTAATGACAGTGCCCAGCTCTGAGTTATGCATAAGAAAAGAAAGGACCTCTTTTAATTGACGGTAATGAAAGTAACCAAAACATATGTGAATTCCTCACATGCTTAACTGATAATTTGAGCATTATGTTATATAATTGGAAAAAGTATATTTTATTTAATGATAGTATATATTTTAATTTGTAATGTTCCAAAGCTTAACATATAATTTTCGTACAAGGTA